AAAGTTCTAGAGATGGATGGTGGTATTGGTTGTACAACAGTGTGCATGTACCGAGTTCTATAGAACTGCACACTTAAAATGGTTAATTTTATGTTTGTGCATTTTACCATAATCTAACCAAAAAAAAAACTATAACATTCAAAAAAAAATAGAGGACTGACAGGCGTGGGGACCCACCAGGGCTGAGGGAGTGGGAGGGGAGAGTTTGGGCTGACCCCAGGGGTCTGGCCTGGGGGGGCTGATGGCAGCAGGGCGAGGAGGTGGAGGTGAGGTGGCCGTGCTCAGAGTTGGGCACTTTGAGCCTCAGGGACTCCAGGAGAAGTGCCCAGGAGGGAGCCAGGCTGGAGAGACCAGGCAAGAGTCATCAGCTTATCACTGGTAATAGACCCCAGCGGAAATAAGAACCACCAGGGGAGCGTGAGATGTAAGAAGAGGGCAGAGCCCAAGGGAACAGGTGGGCCAAGAAGAATCTGTGGCCAAGGAGACTGAGGAGTGGGAGAAAGGAAGGAGGTAAGCCCGGAGATTCTCGTACTTGCTTGGCTGCAAGGGGTGGGGACCCATTCGAGGTACCTGAGTGCAGTGAGGGAGCCTGAGGAGGGGGTAGATCCTAGAAGGACTGTGGGAGGACGGGGGTCTCATGGGAAATCAACAAGCGCTGTAGCAACCCAGGCCTGAGGGAGCAGGGACAGGGCGCTTCTGGCGACCTGGTGTTCCCATCTCTCAGCCCTGTGAGCGCACCCTTCAGATTCTCCCTCAGAGCCCCCAGAAGGAGCCAACCCTGCCACACCTAGATTTTGGACTTGTAGCCTCCAGAGCTGAGAGACAATGAATTTCTGCTGTTTAGCCCCTCAGTTTGTTAGGGCAGTCTCAGGAATCAATACAAATCCCAAGAAATAAAGGAGCTCATTCATCCAACTCACGATTTTTTTTTAATGCCAAGCCACCACATAGGTCATTGACTAGCCAAGCAACTGGCTGCCCTGGAGCCAGGCACCTACTCTGTCCAATCAGCTGAGGGGGGGAATCACATGATATAAAGCATGGCTGCCCCCAGAGGTGCCCCTTGGAGGGCAGGGGGGAAACAGCTCTTTCAGGAGGGACCAGGGACAGCTCAGGCACGCTTGTGTCCCTGGAACCCATGGAAGAGAGAGGCGCAGGCTTCAGTGATGAGGGATCGTGACCTACAATCCCTTTAACCAAAGTGTCTTCCGAAAGAGAAGGACAAAGACAGGGGAGAGGGGGTATGAAGAATTAGCTTTGTTTGTAAATCCACCTTCCTTTGCCCAGCATCAAGACGTTCACTTGGGCTGAAATGACAAGATGGTGTAACTGGAAAATATTCGCTTGAACTTGTGACTCAGCTCTTCCTGACCTCAGGGAAGTGCAGTCATAAATCAAGGTGCCGCCCAGCACCTCCTCCCGCAGTGCTCCCTCAGGGCAGATGCAGATGCCATTAGCAGAAGGGACTGCACCTACTTCCCCTGAAAGATTTAAAAGCACATTTGGTCCTCCAGGAGCTTCCCTGTCTCAGAGCTTTCATTTCTGAAGCTTCCTGATGGATGGCCTCAGCCCTTGACCCACTAATTTTTACTGTCCAACCTGCCGAGTTTTACTTCCTGGCACAGCTTGTAAATTCTTTTTTTTTTCATACTTAGTAGCGGCTTAGGGCTTCTGTCATCGAGAAGCAGGGTGGCCAGATATGCCGGCAGTGTAAAATACGATTTGGAAGACTTAAGTTTTTAAATGTGTTTTAAATTTATTGAGCTATCCTTTTCTTTTTCTCACCAGCTCTTACTCAGGACCCGATCTGTAAAGCAGGTAGCAGCAGCACTGTGCTCCGTCAGGCAGGCCATGCTGAGAGCTCCAGCAGCGTCATCACCCCTACCTGCCTCCCCTCCCCTTTGGGTTCCCAGCCCTCCCAGATCTTCCCAGTTTAAAAATGGGGAAACAGAGGATCCGAGAAGAGAAGGGACTTGCCCCAAGTCCCAAGGACACTAGATCAAAACCTAAATGTGCTCTTGTGCTTCTAGCACCTTCACCAAGCACAGGGCTGGGCACTGGAGCCATGAGGACAAGAAGACACAGGTCCTTACCTGAGGGACATGACAGCCTGATGATAGTGTTTGGGGGACCGGAATAGGGGAGGGGGATGGCCCCAGCAGCAGCAGTGGCTGAGGCAGCCTCACAGTGGCTGGACTTTGTTGAGCCTTCATTGACCACGCCCCAGCCCCAAGCTTTTGCACCTTATCTGCTTGTTGCCACTTAATTGTCGCAGCACCCTATGGGGCGAGTACTGTTACCCTCTTACTGTACAGAAGAAGAAAGTTAGTCCAGTGATTTTCAGCTTTTTATTTTAGCAGCCAAATCCTTTCCTCAAGGGAAATCTTACGTAGAATCCCAAATAGATCAGGCAGTAGCAGGGGAGAGCCCCTTTGCTTAGCCTCTCCTAGTTAACCCCAGCAGGGGCTCTGGAGAAGCTTTCTTGGAACCTGAGCTCTCCCCTAAGCACAGCTTGAAGACCACCGGTGGGGGATAGGTTATAAGGAGAATTTCCCAGTCCATATATGCTCATTTTTCAGATAAGCAAACTGAGGCCCAGAGGACGAGAGGGATTTAGCAAAGTTCACCCAGGGAGTTACCAACATAACTAGCACTCCAGCCAGCATCCTCTGAATCTCATGCCTGGGTCCATTCTTGACACCTTTTTTATTGGGAAACAGAGGCCTTTTACTAACAGTTATAAAATACCATCTCTTCTAAGTTGGCTTAGAAGTGGGCTCTATTAATGTGCTGTGTTCACCTCCCTCCCACCCTGTCCCTTCCCCATCTCCAGTTCCCCCACATCACTGACCACAGGAGAATCTCACTTATGAGAAACCATCCCTGGGAGCCAAGTAGATGAGTGTGGCTTGAAGCTGACAGCTTCATTGTTTACCTTAGGACTTCTCTGTTCCTCTCAGCTTATTTAATGCAATGCCTCATCACTCCGTAATATTCACAGGGCACTTGACGTTAGAAAGGGCCTTTTAAATCCTCTGAAATAAGATTTTTGAATTCATCAGCACCTTGGAGCATGTAAGTGGAACATTAATTTTCCTGTGTGTGCTAAGAGGGAGACTTCTGCAGGAAATTTAATGACTGCATCCCTCGAGTGGCATTCTGGAGGTGGCCCACCACCTGGCCCCACCCCTCCTTCAGTGGGCCCCATAGTTACCACCCATTTCTCTCTTCTTCCCGCTGGCTTTGATCTGGATTCCTCCCTCACTGCTCCCTTGTCCTGGCTCATCCCTTCTCCAGTGTCTGCCCCTGACTTTTTCTAAGCATTTTAGTGTATAGGAAAAATAAGTCAACAGGCAAAGATAACACATTTGGGAAGCTCCCAGGGTCCCAAACCTGTCTCAGCTGGGCCTGTCCCCTAGTCCCTTCCTGTGTGAGTTTGAGTGGCTCCCTCATGTGAACCAGAGGTGAGTCTAAGGCTGTGTTTTCCAAAAGTTGTTCCATAAGATTCCAATTTCAGGAGCAGTTTCTCAGAGACATGGTTTCATGGTCCAAAGGACAGGGAAATTCTGCTTGTATCCTGTCCCTCGTGGTGACATCCATTGTGTGGAAGCATGCCAGCAGTTCTGAGAAGTCAGGCAGTCCCGAGTCCTGTGCAACTTTCTACAGTCCGAGACCTGTTTGAACCCCCAGAACGCATTTGCAGCCCACCTAAGAGTCACTAGTTCGGAGGTGTCTCTGGAAGCTTCTGAGCCCTTTCCTAGGGTTCCTCTTGGTCCTGGGATGCAGACCATAGGGCCTCTCCTGGCTCCACTCAGGAAAATCCAAATTAGGTTATTCTCTGCGAGCCCTCAGGAAGGGTTTTTTCCGTCTATACCAGAGCCCTGTCAGCGGCTTATGCTTTCTTTGGAAGTAAATAGAAGTGAATCAAGGGGTGGACCCACTTATGGTCTGAACGTTGCTTTCTTGGGGTCTGGTCAAAAGAAAACGTCAGTTTAAGCTGAGCCATTCTTAGAGAAGAGAATGGCACTGGCCTTTCTGTATCTGGGAGGCAAGTTCTTTCTTATCAAGCCAGCTGACACCCACTCGGATTTCTCCTGCAGATATGCCCATACGTGCACAGACTTACATTAATAACGTGCACCTCTGCTTTCTGAAATGGAGGCTTTTTCTGGCAGCTGAGAGAACTTTGGGTTTCATTTCTTTTTAATTACTTCCATTATTTTTAGTTAACAAGTAATCCCAGCTTTTTGATTGGTTAGTTGGGTGTCTTTTCCTAGTTTTTATTTATCTCCACTCTGGAAAGTTCCATCAGTTATTTCACAGATGAGCCCTGGGTTTTGTTTGTGTTTGTTTGCATGGGGGTCTAAAACCACAAACTGCTGTGAAGAATGCGATCCTGATGGTAGTAGTTCTAGGGCTGCCGTAACAAAGAACCACAAACTAAGTGGCTTAAACAGCAGGCATTCATTGTCTCAAAGTTCTGGAGGCTAGATGTCCGAGATCAAGGTATTGGCAGGTTGGTCCCTCCCAAGGGCTGTGAGGGTCTATTCCAGGCCTCTCCTCCAGCTTCTGACGGTTTGCTGGTAATCTTTGATCTTCCTTGGCCTGTAGAAGCATCACCCCCATCTCTGCCTTCATCTTCACAGGGTGTTCTTCCTGTGTGCCTGGCTGTCCAAATTTCCTCTTTTTATAAGGACTGCCGTCCTATTGGATTAGGGGCCCATCCTTCTCCAGCATGACCTCATCTATACTTAACTCATGACATCTGCAACAACCCTCTTTACAAGTAGCATTGCCTTCTTACTTGGAATGCGGTACTGGGTTACTGAGGTATGCGGTTTAGGACTGCAATATGTGAATTTGGAGGGAATACAATTCAACCCTTAACATCAACTCTATACACAATAGCACATACCTTCCCACTGCATTTAAAGAGGCATCTGTTTACTCTGAGAGCAAATCCAAGAAGGGTCTTTCTAAGATTCTTTTCTTTCTGGTAGGTCGTACGTAGATCAGCACAGAACATTCTCTGACAATGTCATACAGGCGAGAGCTAGAGAAATACCGTGACCTGGATGAAGATGAAATCCTTGGAGCCCTAACAGAGGAAGAACTCAGGACCCTGGAAAATGAGCTGGATGAGCTGGACCCTGATGTGAGTAGGCACTAAATGGGGCTATGTTATCACAGGTGGAAGGACAGTAACCATCACCACCTGCGGGAGGGGCAGGTGCAGACTTCCTGAAGTACCACTTCCCCTGTATTTTTCAAATATTACAGTCAATTTCAAATATTACTTTCATCTAGAAACACCCTCACAGACATGCCCAGAATGTTTAGCTAAATGTCTGTGCACTCCCTGGCCCTGTCAAGTTGACAGACAGAATTACCCATCACAAGTCCACTCCTAGTCACCTTGGCACCCATACACATCTCTTTAAACCATACCTATCTCTGTAGAAAGTCAATCATAAGGTCATAATCTGCCTAACATGATACAGCCATCCTGGGTACAACCTGCCAGAAAAAGAGGTAAAGTCCTTGAGTGATGTTTTCTTTTGTCTTCAATATCCCATAACTGAACTACTATGATGTAAAATTAACAGTGCTTAAACACCACAATATAGAATCAGTACATCTTATGTTACACGTTAAGAGAATAGGAGAGGGGAGAAAACAATGTAATACACACACACACACACAAATACAGACATGTCCATAACAAAATAAGGAGAAAATACTCATGACGATATTGTCCTCGTTTCTCGAACTGGTCACGTGGTCATAGGTGGCATTTATAACCACCTTCTTCCACTGCCCATTCTGCACTCTCTGCCTTCAGCAAGCCCCTCAGCTGGTTGTGGTTCTTTGACTGGCAGGGTGACTCTAACCTTTGCTCCTGAAGGGCCTGGACCCTTAGTTGAGTTGTTACAGTTTTCCACTGACTTTCATCACAGGGCCTGGTAATACTAAGCAAGCCCTAAGGAGTCCCCGGTACTGCAGACATGCCTTACCTCCACTGTGGAGCAGCAGTCTGATTTCCCCGTAGTAATCAGGACAAATCACCTCAGCCAGTACAGACACTCCCTTCTCTGCCTATTAATTCAGAGGCTTGGGGAGTCCAAAGTGGCCAGGTCTTAACAGTCTTAACTTCCAATCCAGTGGAATCATTGTTGTGCCTCCCTTTAGAACTAAGACCTCTAGGTCAGCAGAGCATAATGTCACAGGAACAGGAAACAAAAATGTTGCCAGTGGGTCACCGGGGGTACCAGTGGTGATAGTGAGTGGTGCTGCTCCCATTTCCACCCTTAATTCCTGAACCCCTGAATCCTGGCCATGGGAGAAGCAGCACCACATAATGGACACTGATACAGAGCATGTACAGACTCCTAGGGACGCTTGCCCCATCCTGCAAGGTGTCACAACCTAACTGCATGGCAGCCGAGTCTGTGAGAGCCCACTCCATCGTTCTGTCAAGCTAGCTGCTGTAGGACAGTGGGGACTATGTGTCATGGAATCAATTAACTGAGAAAGAAAGGCCTAGGAGAATCCCCTTCACTTGTTTGATTTTTTATCACTGCATTTCATAGGTAGCACACGTAAGTGTTTTAATGCTCAGAATTCGCCTTTGCAGTCAGATTACAGCATCACGAGACGGGAGGCTCTCTGGCCATGTCTGTGGTTTGGCCAGCAACCGCAAAGCTGAAGGAGGGACTCCTAGGTGGCCTGCTAGACAGAGGCCTTCTTTCTCCCTCTGTATCCCAGGCACCCAGGTCAGTGCCCAGCACTGAGAAGGTGGAGAATGAATGTTACTGAATTAAGTGAATTTCCCATTTGATATATATTTAATTAAAAATGTGATATTTCATGTCTTTTTAAAAAACCTGTCACTGCTCAACTCTGGTTTAACAGTGATCCATAAAGAAAAGAACACTACTCTGCCATCTCACTAGCCCTCGAGTAACCGCAGCTGGTGTGGAGGGGGTGGAGGTCAGCAGGAAAAGGCAGGACTAGAGGTTAGATGTCCCATCCACGTGACCCTGGGCCAGTTGCTGTCCTCCCTTAGGCCTCAGTGTCCCCATCCATGAAATGATGGAGTTGGTTGGTCCCATTCAGGGCTAAGCTTTCATAAGCTTTTAGTCTGGTCTTATCTCCAGATTTAATTAAATGTCCTCTTTCTAGACAACCCAGAATCCTTGTCTTGGGGTCCTGGGTCCTAGGCCCCATGGAGTGACAGAGTCTTCCAGCAGCATGTCCTCATCTTGCTATTAACAACTCTCCAATCCTCCCAAACCCCTCACCCTCGCCCAGACAGGAGGAGATGGTCCCCCAGGTGAGGCTGCCAGGGCTGATAAGAAGGCAGCTTTGGTTGGGGAGCCCTGCATCATCACTTTCCATTAGCCTGGGTTTCCGTGAAAACAAGTGATGTAGGCAAGAAATAATCAGCGTCCAGCGTTATTGCTATAAGGTTATTCTGTTCTAATTCTATCCTGGATCACTCTCGTGTAGAATTGCAAAAACAGAGTTTTTAAAAGTGAGAACAAAAGGAGGATGTAGCTACTTTCCAGTCAATTCAGTAAACATGACTCGGCTACCCGCCAGGCACTGGGCCCTGCACCGCCAGCAGCAGGCAAGCCTGGCGGGGATTCTTCCTTTTGGGTGCTCAGTCCAGTGGGGACCAGGCATAATAAACCATGTCCTAAATGGGAACAGACAGGGAGCTCAGGGAGAGGATTAATTCCTTCTAGTGGGAGGCTTCCCAGAGCAGGTGATATTGGAACTGGGCCCTGGATTTTTCTTAGTCAAGAATAAAAACAAAGAACTGCTGAGTGAAGGCCACAAGCAAAGGCTCATGCGCAGAAAGTAACTGGTGACGAGGAATTTAGATGTGGTTTCTGTGGAGGATTAGATGAGTGTGGAAGGGGGTTTGGGCTAGATAATGGGGGTATGGTACAAGGCAGACTAAAGAGTTTGGACTTCTCTCAGCAGGCCCAGGGAGGCCCTAGGGGCAGAGGGCAGGTGGCCTGGAGGAGATCCTGGGGAGATGGGTGAGAGGTGGAAGGGGTTCTCATGGTGGTGGAAGAACTCTTTTCTGAAGACAAGGAAGGGCCCCTGCCCCTCGCCACAACCCTTCTGCCATCTTGCGGAATCTCTGGTCTTTGAGGCTGTTGGAGTTGCCCTGAGCCTCCGGGTGAGGATGAGTTCAGATTAGGCTGCGACTATAAACTGGGTAAGTGGGGTCACAGCCAGGCCTGGGACCTGGGAGTGGGCAGAGACCAGATGTGGGAGCCCTTTCAGAACTGAGAGTAGAGCCCCTAAGGGCTGCTTGAGCCCCAGCTGGGAGCTCTGTTCTGCTTCTGAACTGCAAAGGGCTCCCACTCCTGATAACAGGGTATCTGGCCCCAGCAGCAATTCCCAGGGCGTCTGTGCTCTCACACAGCTGGCTCCCCTGAGCCTTCTCACAGGTGATTAACAGGAAGGCATGTGTGTGTCCCCTGGAGGGGTGGAGAAGCCAGGGCCCAGAGAGCTGACTAACTTGCCCAGCATCACAGGACCCGTGTATGGAGACTCCGATTTCAAACAGGCTCCAAAGTGTGGCACCTCCCCCTCTGGCAGGAGGAAGGTAAAAGTGCACTCGAATTTGGGAGTAGGGTTGGGCAATCCGAGACCTGTGAGCCTCATACCACTGGTTTCAAAATGGACATTTTCAAAGACCTCTTTCTCTCTAAGTTCAAGGGAAAGAAGAGAGAAATCAAGAGAGGATAGGAGATACAGGAGGCCAGTGGGGTTTTTGTCCGAGTCTCACAATTGGCCCGTCACGGAGATGTCTCTGTTACCTGATTTGCAAGTCGGTGTGGGGGTTTTGAAAAGATCTAGTAGGCCTCCCTTCTTTCTGAGAGCACAAACATTCCAGCTCGAGTTTCACCCACCCTGGGCCCGTGCTCTGAAAGCAAGCACAGGGAGAGGCCAAGGTATGCAGACCACGAGAGGCCTCCAAGCTGCTGGCTGGGAGGGGACGCAGAAACCAGCAGGTGTCCAGCCCTCCAACTTACAGAGCAGAGACCGAGCCCAGAGATGGAGAGGAACTTGCTGTGGCCACATGTCCAGACAGAACCAGACCAGGACCCAGCTCCACTGCCCTCTCTCTAATACTTTACACTTCTGTTTTAATTCTGGTTTAACAAGTGCTTATAGGGCACTTCCTATGTGCAGACACTGTCCTAGGCACTTTGAAAATAATTCATTCAACCATCATCATAATCCTATGATGCAGGCACTGTTATCATCCCCATTTTACAGATAAGAAAACTGAGAGTTGAAGTAACTTGTCCAACAAACTAAAAGAAGGCAGTGGAAGAGCCCTGAGCAGTTCTGAGAGTTCACATCTTAGCCATGCTGCTATAAGGGGTCTTCAAGAAGACAGTTTGAGCCGCAATGTGCTCTGGTTTTATAGTTGGAAGCAGAGGTTGCTGTAAACAAAATTATTCCCCTTTCTTCCTGGAAACAGTCTGAGATGCGGAAGTACTGGTTCACCCCTGGCTCTGCTCCCAACTTAGGCACGTGCTTTTCCCTCTTTGGATCTCAGTTTCTCTACCTGCAAAGTGGACACAGCGGGCCTAAGTGCCCTCTGACACCCCCTCCAACTCTAACCATCTCTGATTGTATGAGCAATTCCTGGCAGTCTTGTGACCTGAATTCAACTAATAGGTAACATTTCAGGGGGTTCTGTTTTCAGCGATGCAGTTGTTAAGCCCCAGTGTCATGTGACAGAATAGAGTACTCGGAGTTGGAAAGCTGCTTTGTTTGCAGCAGATGATTCCAAACTTGTGCACATTAAAAAAAAAAATTCCCGAAACTTCCTCTCTCTTAGTCCGTGGCCTGGAAAAACTCGAGCTTATCATGAGATTGTTGCACTTGGACTCCCACGGGAGAGGAATGCTCCATGTGCTAAAAGTATCCACTGTTGACTGATTCCCCAAGAGGATCTGCCCTTTCTTGTCTTGCTGGAGTTAAGTAGACGCTGCTCTGAAGCTGAGCCAGCTCCTGGGTTCAGACTGCCTTTGTACCAGGCCGATGGGGAAAATGGGCAGTGTACAGCGACGTTTGAGAATGACAAGTCACACTGTGACTCGGGCAGGGTAGTGTACAAGTTCT